TGGCTGGCATTGGGGGCTGGGGGTGGGGAGCAGGGGGAGGGTCTTACCCCAGTGATCCTCCTTGATCCCCAGATGCAGCATCCTGTAGGACAAGTCACTGCCCCGCAGGACAGTCACTGTCTTCTCTTTGGCCATGTGGCTCTGACCCTGGACCTGGGGGGAGGCAGGGAGAACAGGAGGACTCTAGGACCCGCAGGAAGAGAGGGATGGCAAGGGTCTCTCTTGATGAAGAGATTCGTTGATCAGGGAAGGGTCTATAGGACCTGGGGGTCGGTGAGGTACAAAGGGGCAGGAGGCAGAGGGTGACCCAGTACAGCAAGAACAGCATTTTGTAAAGTGTATTATTGCACACAAGACATTTCCAGAAAAAAATCCCAAGGCATTCTGGGATCAAAGCAGTACACACGGGCATGGTAAAAGCCCTAAGAAGTCCCACAAGAAAGAAATGGGCTTCATTTGGTCTCATTTAGCATTTTCCAGAGTCTGGCGTATACATTTGGGAAAATGCTGAGCTGGAGTCACGATGCATTGCGGGTGGATAAACTCCAAGTAACCGCTAAGTCCTTCTCTCTCATTTTACACGTGGGCAGCAAGGCTCAGAGAGGGGAAGCAGCGGGAGGGAAGTCACCCCTGGACGGTGGTATTGTCATTACCATTGCCACCTGCTCCCACAGGGAAAGCGCCCATTTAAAGGCCACAGTCATAGAGCTCCTACTTATTCAGGCCACGATTCCCAGCTCCCTCCACATAATCAAGGTCCCCAGCTGCCCCCGCCCTCACTCCCACCGTCTGTACATGGTGCCCCTCCTCGCACAACTGACAAGGGGGCAGGTCTGCACACTTGAACATCTGCTGAAATAACACGATTTGAAGCCCAGCCGTCTGCTGCGTTCAGAGGCCACGTTGCAGTTTAAACTGCTTGATCCAACGTGTGGGCATCGGAACCAGACAGACCCAGGTTTGTACTGTGGCCCCACCACTCACGGGCTGTGTGCTCCTGAGCAAGGACTTAACCTCTCTGGGCCCCAGTTTGCTTACCTGAAATACCAGACATGACAGTACATATCTCCTGG